ACCATTACATACCCCCATTACCACTTCAATACCAAAATCATCTACACAGAATCTTGAACCAACTACTTGCCCCAGCTTAACCATCTTCCCCGCAACTTGAACACCCTTCTCCATATCATATGGCTCTCCACTAGCTCTAATAATCATTCCCCACATCCCAAATGCATATCTAGTATGATCTTTATCAGCATGTGGACGGTTACAAAACCCATCACATGTAACAACCAGGTTGGACGCAAATACTAAGCCATTCTGGGTATTTTCCCATGCCAAAGAATCAAAACCTGGGATATTAGCTTGAAGTCCAAGCTCGTCATTGGTTTTGAATACAGAAAGTGATAAAGATGAAAATTGTTCCGCCCAGAAATCACGAATCCGATGGAACTCAACCATCCTTTCCTTGTCGCTAAGAATTCGTCCAGTATTTGCCGAAGTAAATGCACTGATACAATAAGGTCCTAGATAAATTCAGAATAAATTATATAAGATGACATCTTTGTGATTAGTTAATAAGGTAGAGATATTGAGACGAAATCATTTACCTGCAGTTTTGCCTTTCTCACAACCCCCTCTCCAACCACAACACCCCATCCATCAGCATATCATATTTTCATCCTGATGTTCACCCTCTTCTTTATCTTGATGTTGAAGAGAACAATGTATCTTACATTGATTTCTAGCACGTGCATGTTGAAATGTAGTAGAGACTGAATGATTATACTTCTCTCTAAGAGAGGAATTCATCTCTTTGAAAGGGATACAACGAACCACCATAACAATTGATAGATCCTTTTTATTAATCACAACCACCGTTCCAGTTTCAATCTTCAGTGGTTTTTGTTCGGGTTGGTCAGGTTGATCTTTTAGGCTATAACAAAAGACAAATTTGGTATCCATCGGTAATCCAAGCTCCCAAATAAGTTTCCGTTTAAATTCAGTTCGCTTTGTATGATGGCGAGTGTAAGAGTGGCCAAGAGCCTTGACTTTCCGATATTTGTCCTTGGACTTATGGTAGCTTGGACAAGTTTTAGACTTGAAGCTTGATACCTTCACACCGGCTTTTTTTTCGTTCATTAGATTTCGAACGTGACATCCTGTATTGAACTTGAATAACAAGTTCAATATTGAAACTTGAGGTTGAGATTTGATTTCAATTTTTAAGAGCTAATAACTAGATTTTCGAGAGTTTTCAATATTGAAACTTGAGGTTGAGTTGTGATTTCTATGTTTAAGAGCTAATAACAAGATTATCGAGAGTCCAGATTGGTATAACCCTTGAAGAGCTAGTAACAAGCAATGATTTAGGAAGATACGAGATATTTAGCTATGAAGCGATAGAGCATTTGATCAAACTATGATCAAAAGGACTTACACCTATGATAAAATGTTGTTTATGAGTTTGAAAAGTCAAACCCTTCGATTTCAGATGTTGAGAACTAGTAGAGATATGCACTTTCAGACTTCGATCAATCAGTATCCAGCAATGAAGTAGTCACATACAAGATTATTACCTATTAAACGATAGATCTTTGGAGCAGACTACGATAATATAACTTACACTCACAATAAATTGTAGTTAATGAATATATGAATATGATAAGTTGAACGCTTATGTTTATGATTATTCAGACCTTGTGAGCTAGTAGAGAGATCCACTTTCAGCGATTGATCGATTCATAATTCAAGATTTGATACATGATTACTTACCCTCAGATTTAGATAAGTATCAAAAGTGTGTCTTGGCCTTCGATACTACAGCTTAAGACCTAGTAGTAAGTATAAAGGATGTGGAATCGACTATTAGCACTCCATTGATCAATTTGGTAGATTGCAGTTTGAAAGCTTACGATGTTAATGAGGTTACAAAATCGAGAGTTGCATTCGATATCGAAACTTTGTGATAATAGAGGCTTAAATTGATCTCCCGTATATATTCAAATAGTCGAGTCGAGTCGTCCCTGGACAGTAGGCCAAATTCTCCCGGTTCGTAGTACGGAGTCCGACAACGAGGAGAAAACAGCTGCTAACTGTGGGTGTGCAATGAAAGTTGAGATACTTGAAGAGTTGGAATCAATATCAAAGGTTTGGTCGAGTCCTTCCTGAACAGTAGGCCGAATTCTCCCGGTTCGTAGTACGGAGTCCGACAACTAGGAGAAAACAGCTGCTAACTGTGGGTGTGCACTGAAAGTTGAGATTTTTGAGGTGAGTCGTTCTTGGAATATCGAACGACTGTTGGGTAATTTTTCTTTGTATTCAGAACAATTTTCTGACCATGGAAAAACAAAGGTAACCCACAATACAGAGGTTAGGGTAGAATCAGGATCGCAAGCCTGTGAGGTTAGGGTTAGGGGTGTTTTAACCCTAACATTTAATGAACCATTATGTACCAGTTCAATGGTATCTAAAGTTGAAAACCCGACTCTGGTGCTTAACTTGGAAACCTAACAATATGTAATTGCCTTACCTCGATAACAAATTACCCAAGTCTTAAATACTACATGTAGATGAAGACTGTAATTGCCAAGTACAAATACACTACGTACTTGGATTGTTTTTTGCTTTCAATACTATAATAACCTATCTTTATGTATGCTATGGACTCAATCATTTTGTTTCAAGGTGCATGATACTAGGATTGTATTTTCTGTAATTTCCTTTATGTATGCTATGGATTCAATTTTATTTTCTCCGAGCCAGAAAAAAATAGGATTGTATTTTCTGTAATTTCCTTTCATTACAAACCCATTCTCTGTGTGACAGATAAACCCAAGTACATCATATTATCTTTGGGTATTGATAACCCATAAGAAGACAACTGGGTGTTACCAAATAACAGTGTGTCCTATGACACAACTAATTTGTGTGATCAACACATATTGACCTAGGAGCACAGATATCTGATAGCAAGTGTTTGTTGTCACCACCCCTTTGGAATTGTGTGCACCAGACAAAAAGGTCCTGAACTTTGGCACTGAGGCTGAGTGAATTACTGTGTGACTCAGCTTCCACATGATCTGGAACCAGTTGACAATGAGATAAAGATGAAATCTCAATTTTGGATGCATACCTGAAACCCTGATTCCACCACCACTTTTGCAAGTTGCGCACCACCCCCACCCAAAAAGTAAGTGTATAATTGGAATCAGGGACCCCCTTTCCCCCTTTGACACACCATTCAGACAATCCGGTACAGGTGGTCCTGGGGAAATAGTGTAATCAGGGTTTTTTGACACAGTTACACACACGCATACCTGAATCCCAGATTCCACCACAACTTTTGCAAGTTGCGCACCACCCAAAAACTAAGAGAAGAATTGGAATCAGGGACCATCATTTACCCTATGACACACCTTACAGACAATCCGGAACAGGTGGTCCTGGGAAAATAGTGTAATCAGGGTTTTTTGACACAGTTACACGCATCCCTGATTCCCAAAGTATGTTTCCACCACAACTTTTGCAAGTTGTGCACCACCCAAAAAGTAAGTGTAGATTTGGAATCAGGGACCTTCATTTACCCTATGACACACCTTTCAGACAATCCGGAACAGGTTGTCCTGGGAAAATAGTGTAATCATGGTTTTTGACACAGTTACACGCATCCCTGAATCCCAGAGTATGTTTCCACCACAACTATTGCAAGTTGCGCACCACCCAAAAAGTAAGTGTAGATTTGGAATCAGGGACCTTCATTTACCCTATGACACACCTTTCAGAAAATCCGGAACAGGTGGTCCTGGGAAAATAGTGTAATCATGGTTTTTGACACAGTTACACGCATCCCTGAATCCCAGAGTATGTTTCCACCACAACTTTTGCAAGTTGCGCACCACCCAAAAAGTAAGTGTAGATTTGGAATCAGGGACCTTCATTTACCCTATGACACACCTTTCAGAAAATCCGGAACAGGTGGTCCTGGGAAAATAGTGTAATCACGGTTTTTGACACAGTTACACGCATACCTGATTCCCAAAGTATGTTTCCACCACAACTTTTGCAAGTTGCGCACCACCCAAAAAGTAAGTGTAGATTTGGAATCAGGGACCTTCATTTACCCTATGACACACCTTTCAGACAATCCGGAACAGGTGGTCCTGGGAAAATAGTGTAATCATGGTTTTTGACACAGTTACACGCATCCCTGATTCCCAAAGTATGTTTCCACCACAACTTTTGCAAGTTGCGCACCACCCAAAAAGTAAGTGTAGAATTGGAATCAGGGACCTTTATTTAGCCTATGACATACCATTCAAATCATCCGGAACAGGTTGAATTTGGGCAAAGATCTCATCATCAACATATTTTGATGTTTTGATGCATCACAGAGTCTAAATACATGTTGCCAGTTTCAAATTACGTGCCAGTCCAAAACTAAGTGGAGATTTGGAATCCTGCACCTTCAGTTAAACTACAACACACCTTACACATAATCCGGAAAAGGCCCACATTGGCAAATTGCCTCTTCAAAATATGATGACGCCTAAGTTGAGTAAAATTTCATTTTCAATCTTACAAGTTGAAAATGAGAGTTTTCATCTGTCTTTTGTCCCTTTATATACTTTATATATACACAGTGGGAGATCATTCAGACGTCCGGAAAAGGCTCATGTGGTCAAAATATCTCATCAACGAAATTCACCCCAGGGTGAATTTCAAATACACACCAGGGTGAATTTGAATAAGTGATCAAGCTGTAAGATGATCCGGACAAGGTCATCTTTGATTGAATCTTGTGCTGCCAATCATTCACCCCCAGGTGAAGGTCAGCTCACTCTAGGGTGAATTTCATTTCACCCTAGTTTGAAAAGAATCACACTTGAATGTACATCTATCAATCTTCATGACTCACGTGATGCAAATGAGAAATCAGACATATCACAGACTAAGCTGAGTAGGATTGCATCATACTAATTTCCATTGTACCAAAGGAAAATTCAAAACATACATAATGTAAACATATAGGTTGTAGAACATTAAATAATATTGAAAACCGTGCATTTTCATTCATCCATGTCGATATCACCGAAGCCATTCCACTCCTCCTCCTCAAAAGCCTCCATCATATTGTGTTCAAGATCATTGTCATTGTCCTGGGTCATCGTAACTTGAAAATCAAGATCCTCATTCAACTGGTTACCTCTGGTGTCTGAATCTGCGACATCTGAGTTAGGTGTCACCTTTTCCAATCTGAATAGATTCTTCTGCACATCACTAAGCCACAGACTCCTACGGCTGTTCATTCCATTAAAACCTAGCTTCAAAACATCTTTTGGCAGGGTTGAACCGGGCATTTGGACTACTTTGATGTTGTAAGTGTCAAGTAAGAGAGATTCTGGGTCAGGACAACGTGGAAAGCCTTGTTCTTTCCCAGTCAGCGCACCTGAGATCAATAAGTGACACCAGTCAGAAGAACTGCTTATATGATTCAAGGTATATAAGCACAATTGCATGCTTACTGAACATGGCTCGTAGCAATAAAGCAAGGTCGCCCTTGACCTTATCACCAGGGTCGGTTTTCCTGGCCTTTTCGCTGGACAACATCACATTTCCTCCGATGGTTTGAGCTACCACCTCCGAAACCAAAAGTCCCTGAGCTCGTGCTCCAAATACCGTGGCGAAATTACTTTTCTTATTGACATATAGTGCCATTTCCTCGTGTGTGGTGAACTCTCGGCACCAGCCTGGGGCCGCGTTGGAACTCTCGCTCGAAGCATAAGTGCTACAAGCCAGGAGATAATAAGAGAAATTCATATTGTTCGATTCGTTTTCTAACTGTGAAAGAAAGAATAAAGCGCATAAGTTACAGGAAGAAAACGAATACAGAACATCCCAAATGACTGACCTGAGTGTGAAGACGCTCTATACATTTGAGTGATTGATGGTTGTAATCGGGTAAGCTGGGTCCTTGAGGTATGCCAGCTGCAGCCTTTGCGAAATCCTTGGCCACCTTTGCTTTATTTACAACCTCGTCGTACAAAACTTGAGCATCAGCTAGCTCTGTGGCATTGAGAGGAAACACGTCTTCATCTTCTTCTTCGTCGTCGGAATTTTCATTAGGAGGGGGAGTGAGACCAGAAAGACGGTAAAAGATTGAGGGATGAAAAAGTTCATGTTGTTCGTCCGGAAGGGCTGTCCAGATCTTCCCAAGGTCACGGTTTCTTTTGGCAAGAATCCCTTTGACTCCTTTAGGTGGCACTATATATACAAAGACGGGTTGAAAAATATGAACATGGCTTCAAAGTACGTGATAGGCATGTTGGATGATCTTTTACTTACTTGGATGGTTATCTATCTCCTTACTGTACCTTTTCCATAATTGATAACCTCCAGTTTTTCGTCTTCCACCAAGTTCACCTCTGTAGAAATGGTTTTGAATCAGTGATATTGGAGATTTTAAGGACGTATTAAAAAGTACTCACAGTGCTTTTTCAAGGGTAAATTTACTGATGTTTCCCATTAGTGCAAGCATAGCCTTCTGGTGTTTGTATAATTTACAAATAGCTTGAGCTTCCTTCAAAATCTTGGGTGGTACTGCTGTACCCTTTTTGATCTGTGATCGTTCATGTACAGCTATACGATGGGGTGGCCATTTGTCCAGTTTGGACTTATAATTATTGAGAGTCGGTAATATTAAGACTTGTTCTCCATCAGTAGGGGCTTGTTCTTGTTGGTTTGGGCCAGTAGTTCGTGCAAGACCTTGTCTCTCGATACGATTAGAAGCTCGCCGATTGGTTGGTCCGGGTATGGGCTGAAACTGATTATCAAGACGTCGCATGAGGTCATCATCTTCAACTTCTTCATCGTCATCGGTAGGTTGAATATTGGTGCTGGAACAAGTGGGTTGGAGTTGAAGTTGAATGTCGGGGTCCAAATCATTTTGATGTGAGTCTTCTTCAGAGGTGTCTTCGTCTTCAGTATGATATTCCTCATCGCTAGTATCATCTGCGTCTTGATTCGAACGGCGAATTCGTTTGCGTGTATTCGAGTTTGATTGCGACATCGATGGCTTTACCGTCTGCCTGCTTTTTCGTCCAGGGTGAGAGGTTGGAGTCAAGGAGGTCGAGTCGAAAGAGACTGTACAAATTGATTGCAAGTTCCTAGCACTTGGCCGTGCCAGACCTGGTGCGGTAGCGGGTGGAGCACCACCACCACGAGCGCGATAACGGGTGTAGGAGGGCATGGGATGTTGATCGAAGTTTGTAGTAGAAGAGGGAAGAATATGAGGAGGAGTCAAAAGTCGATGACGAGGAGGAGGAAGAGAAACTATTCAAATACCAGGAACGTCACGAAAAGATACAGTCCCGGCCCGGTGCTCAGTGGACATGACCTAATGGGCCATAATATTTCAAATATGGGGTCCATATTCAGGGTGTGTATATGTACATACAGGAATCCCACGCTATTGTAAGACTACCACCAGTGAGAAAGGAAATGGTTGGGGGTGGCTTAACCCGTCACTCTGTTAGTGATGGGTCTACACAATTTTTTAGCCCAATTTGGAAGACATGGACGGTCTATCCACCTGTCTGTGGTTGGTCTGTGGTTGGGTGATTGATACAAGAGAGAGAGAGATTGAAAATTTTCAATCGTACCCCTTGTCATGTGGTATATGACTCCCCAAAAGCAGTTTGAACATTCAACCACACAATCCAAGACATCTCTTACCTCACAATCCAAGATCACCCACACCCATTATCTTTCTACTTTTCATTTATGGGCAAGAAAGGAACGGCAGTTCATTGTCCACTTGGTGGAGCCAAAAAAAAAGACAAACCAAGGAAGACGCTGAAGGCTCTGCAATAATTGCTGACCAAGTTGACACGAGTGAAGCTCAATATGTCAATAAGCGTCTGATAGAAATTGAAAACGCACTTAACGCAGTTCAGGAACCTTTGCAAGTGGATGCTCAACCAAACCAACACCACAACGACCTTCAAGACAACAACAACATCGTATACGGGGATGCCTATGACGACATAAATAATTTCCTTCCTGCTCAAGAAGATGCGGCGGTCCCACCGGATCCCAATGTTCCATTTGCCACCTATGTGCAAGGATCATTCTACAGAAGCAAAAAAAAGACTGAAAATGAAAACTGGAAGAAGGCTCTGCCGGATATGTTCATTACCTACATGACCTACTCGCAGGAAACTTCCCAATGGGGTGATCCAACCAAATGGAATTATGATCACAACAAACCATGTTGCTGTGGTGTGGGGGACCTGAGAATGCGTAAGGTTGATATGTTAGATATTTTGGGTGAGCGGTAATTTCCTTAATAATACATCTTATTTCACCTCTACGTGAATTTATTTCACCTCTATGTGAATTCAATTCACCTCTATGTGAATTGGATTCACCTCTATGTGAATTAAATTCACCTCTATGTGAATTGGATTCACCTCTATGTGAATTAAATTCACCTCTATGTAGGCTGAATCCACCTCTATGTGAGCTGAATTCGCCTCTGTGTGACTAATAGTCACCTCTATGTGAATTGAATTCACCTCTATGTGACTTATATTCACCTCTATGTGAATTGAATTCACCCCTATGTGAATTGAATTCACCTCTACGTGACTTATATTCACCTCTATGTGAATTTCATTCACCTCTATGTAAATTCTATTCACCTCTATGTGAATTCCATTCACCTCTATGTGAATTTCATTCACCTCTATGTGAATTGAATTCATATGAAGACACAGGTGTGAATGAGGCATGTTTGTGTGTAAAGTTAACATATATCCAATTGCTTTTGATGTCTCTAGAGCGGAAACAAGTAGAAATTCTATTCTGTAAATGTACCAAGGATCAAGTCCGGCTCCTCAGGATGGGTTACATCGGGGGATCCCCAGTTCATCCTCAAGCCGCGTACTCAATCAGGCTACTTAGGATGCATCATTCATTCTGGAAGTATTGCACTGTGAGAACACAAGGCTTTTCGGTGGCATTGGATGACTTGTAGGCATGATCACGTCCTAAAATTTGTCAATGTTGTTCAGAGTGGGGAGCGGTAAGATTTTCTCTTCCACTATATATGGCAGATGTGTTTCAAAGCTAAATATACTGTTTCATTACTTAGTCAGTACTTTGTGTTGGCTTTGCTAGATCAACTATTGATAGATACAGCAGAGCCAGAAAAACCGGGTAAAAGTTTTACTGTTTTCTACGATATTGGTTGTACATTTGAGAAGAGTGTTCGGAACATAAATCAATTTCTGCTTGCTCAGAGGCTCGTATATTGGTTCTTACTTTTCTTCTTAATTTTTGTTGATAGCACAAATATTTCGAGGCAGAAACCAATCGTGGGGATCTGCGCTTTGCTACAAGTGCTTTCCATGCATATGCTCACGAGTGGTCTTGTCAGCTTAAATATAATCCTAGACTGAATGTGGGCAACGGATTGTCAGATGGCGAAGGTTGGGAGCGGATATGGGGAGAGAATTCTCCTCTGGTAGCACCAAATAGATGTGCCACAAAGCAACATCGAGTGGATGCCATAGATTTGAAGTCAAGTCATGGAAATGAGACTCGATGCCAAAATGCAGGTATGTTTTTTTTGTACAATATATGTGAATCAGATGTTGACGACATGAGTTCAGTTTTCTCAACTCAGGTGAAACTGAAGACGGCAGAACAGAGATTTTATCAGGCATCGCAGACCCTCCAAAGCCTGGCATCTCAAGATGCCAGCTTTACGTATGGCTATTTTTCAGATCAGTGGAAGCGACAGAGGGAGGTGCAGCTGACTGCCATGGAAGAACATGGCATACAACAGAAGCTAGAGGAACATCTGGTGAAGCTTCTCGACCTGGAAGAGCAGGTGAAAGATGCACAGTAAATTACGTCTATTTTTTTGGATGAATGTTTTTTGTTGACTTTTTTTTTGCAGACACGAGCTTTCACGTCTTCGGAGGAAGCACAGAGGAAATCGGACCGAAGCTGAGATGGACAAATTTCTAACATTGCCATCTTCAATTGTCTCACTCGAAAAGGCAGTGGCTGATATCACTTTGGAGTTGGGAACACCTGAGTTCAATCGCCTTCGGGAGGCTACTGGTGAGTCCACTTTGAAAGTATTGAAAATTTGCTTGCTCTCTTAATTGAAATGGCAATTAAATTTATGAAGGTGCAAAAGCGGAGGCACTGATACGCGTGCGGTTGGCAAAGATGAAGCTATATGAGGCTAAGGTGGGAATAGTAGAAGCTCAAAAAAAGTGGGATAAGGGTGGTCAAGGCAAGTGTGTTTAGTTTACAATTGAAAAAAATGTGTAGCGCGTTCTTATGATAAATGAAATTTGTTTTTGTTTGTATTGACTTTTAGGAACTAAAGCGCAGCAAGGTCTCAAAACTCTAATGACAAAGAAGCAGTTGATGTTTAGGCGAAAATGGACATCCTATGAATCTCAAGTTTCAGATTACAACTCAATTTGCCCAGTAACAAGGATGCCTTGTCCATCACTTGATGAAGCCAAAAAGCTACCATTTGAGGATATCTTCTGGAATGTGGGCGCACTTTCTCATCCTACAGAGAAGTGGGCTGTAGATCCACCCACGATTGACGGAATCCAGGCCTTTTTACAGCATAGGAGTTGCAGTGATGAACTACAAAGGATTGGCCGGGAAACTCAGCAGATGGTGTATCAAGCTTTGAAGACTGAAGAAAAGCTTGATGGCTTACTTGCGTTGTGTAGTAGTGGTCAGTAGTAATATGTGTTATTGAACAATTTGTCTTTGGTGTTCCTGATGTTTCTTAAAATCTCACAGATTATGATCCGGAAGAGGGTGGTAGACAGCTCATCGAATTGGTTCAGCCTGGGCAGCGTATATCAAAAGATGTTTGGGAAGTGAATGTGGCAGTGTTGAGATCATTGCATGATAATCTGCGTCTGAAGTATTGCAGAACTTGGATGATATGGGATGTAGATCTGGTGGGATTGCTCCATAGAACCTATCAACACACAACATCAACAGCACAGGAAATTAGGTCATTGATCCAGCGCTGGGAAGCGTTAGTAAGTAGGTGTAAATCAACCTGGGAGCGTATTGTGAAAGCTCAGAATATAGAAGCAACTCCGCTGGATGAGCTGGAATTGTTTGAGCAACATATGGTGCGTGGGGAGGATGACATAGGTCAGGTGGGTGACCTAGCGGATGAAGTTAATCACCTGTTCATTCTGGATGAAGTGGATGATGGTGACATGGAGGAATACTTCAATGAAAGTGGTTTGCATTAAGAATAAATTTGTTGGTTGTTGGTTTTGTAAATTTTATAATCAAAGATTTTTAATCATGTCCCTCATTTAATTCCATATCACATATGGGTGAATACATTCACCTCGCGTGACTCTGGATCACATATGGGTGAATGTTTTCACCTCGTGTGATATGTAATCACATATGGGTGAATACATTCACCTCATGGTGTGATCATAAATCACATATGGGTGAATACATTCACCTCATGGTGTGATCATAAATCACATATGGGTGAATACATTCACCTCATGGTGTGATCATAAATCACATATGGGTGAATACATTCAGCTCATGAAGGGATTGTTGAGGCACACTGAAATCTGATTCCCACATGTTTGATTCTGTATCACATATGGGTGAATGTATTCACCCTGTGTGATATGTAATCACATATGGGTGAATACCTTCACCTCATGTTGTTTTACAAATATTATACATTGATTTTTGATCACGTCCTGTCTGTGATTTAGCTATGATTTGATGAGAGATTGTGGAGGCACACCAGAATCTGATTCCCACATGTTTGATTCTGTATCACATATGGGTGAATGTATTCACCTCGTGTGATATTTAATCACATATGGGTGATTGGTGATCATACATAGAATTTGATTTGTGAGCAACTGTAAGGTTTCAGAGTGCCTGAATAGTGGAGATCTATCTTCTGCACATGTGAATTTACATCACACATGGGTGATTTAGCTTCACCTAGGTGTGAATGGTTTTTGCACTGTATACCTAGCACTTTCCACAGGCTAGTGGTACATACAAATGTGGCTAGTGATTAGTAGTGGATCTATGAGTGTGGCCATATTATTCTACGTTTGTGATGAGTTGATTGAAATCTTTGATCCGACGCGTTGGGGGAGTCGGCGCGTCGGTAGGGGACATTCCGGACAATGTCGGATAGGAAATACATTTTTTCTAACGGATAATATCCAAAGCGTCCAGTAGACACAGGTGTTTGGATTTGTCAGTGCGCCGGCGCGTCGCGGTATCATTTTGCAAAAAATGCGACCTATCCGATCCTGCGAGGCTCCTGGAAATGGGTTACATGGCTGCTTCCCCTTCCAAGCCGCAGACTGCTTTCTCACTGCGACTGTTGGTGCATCATCACTCGCAGTGGATACGGTACGCAGTTCCCACGGAAGGATTTTGCGAGGGACTGGACGACAGCCTTGATGCTAACAATCCTGTTTTACTGACCTCAAGCGGAGTGGTGAGTCAGGGATGAATAAAACCTGCTGATCACGCTAACGGGCATGTCTTCCCTCAGCCCCGCAAATGGGCACGGACGTTCACCATCGCGGTTCAAGCATATCGGGCAATTATCATGCAAATACGCGAAATCGAAAATGAAAGACTTAAATTGTCTGAGCTTGGAATTCTTGCTGCGAATTGTCCGAAGTGTTTTGGACCACCTGTAGGTAACACGAGGCCTGGAGAGCCTGATGTGATAGTATTCCTTCACGGAAACTTCCAGCATAAGAGGCATGCGGCCGCAAGCGTTGAGGTTCCGGGTTCCGAACCTCCTAGGCCGGATCTTTTCCTAGAACCAAAGCTAGTTGCAGCCAAGGCTTTGCTCTTGGCTAATGGGCCCCAAATACCGGAAGAACATGTCAGTAATCACATTGAACATTTTCCTCAAAATTGACGCTAACACATTTCAATGCATTTTTCCAGGACGCCTGTGCCGAGGCTCATACCGCTGCGAACGATGTTAGAGGCAAGAAGCACTTCAAAAATATGGACGAATCTGGTTTGATGGGCATGGCGTGTCGACATGACCATATACTCAAATTCATCAATCTCATCCAGAGCGGAGAGAAGTAAGTATCAGGGATTTATATTTTGTGTTTGTTTATTGACGTGTTATTTTTAGGAATCATTATGCGCTAGCCCTTATACAGTGGTTACTCGACTTATTCAAGACTGATCAAGAGGGAACCACTGCTGTGAACGTGCTCTACGACATTGGGTGCACCCTGGACAAAACCATCAAGAAAGTTAGTTGGTACAAATATGAATAAACACATCAACTCATCAAAGTTAACCAAGTACATATTATTTTAAACAATTCTGTAGAAACAAGTCTTCACGGATGAAGCCCAATCGGAGCAAGTCAAATTAGGCACTGCCTTATTCCACGCGTATGCCCACAACTGGGGCTGTCAGTTAGAGTATAACCCAAGGCTCAATCAAGGGTGGGGTAAAACTAATGGAGAGGGGCTTGAAAGAGTATGGATGAAACTGTCTCCCCTGATACGACTTTTGCGGTATGCCACCAAACAGCGGAGGCTGGTGAGTCTCCATTTGTGGACTACCCACAGAAATGAGGTGTTGCGCAAAAGGGCTGGTATGTCTACAGATAATATCAAACAAAGTTCAATAGCTAACTGATTGAACTTCAACAGTTGAATTTTTGGTTACTCATACTCAAAAGTATGAAGCTGAGTTGTTAGTTACACAGGGTACGCTCAACAGGCTTCAGCAGCAAAACCCGGAACACACCGCTCAATACTTTCAGACGCAGTGGGAGAGGCAGCGTGACTTGCAGCTTCGAGCCATGACTGTTAGAGCCAAGGAGAAACAAGAGCGAATGAAGGTGTTAGTAAAGCTTGAGGAAGAGTTGTTGGAAGCGCGGTAAGAGATTTCAGAATGTTGGGACCTTTACCTGTACCATGCGCAAAGAGCTAACATGCGTAATTTCATTGTGTTTTCAGTGGAAAACTGAATGCACTCGACGCAACTAATGCTGAAATAAGAACGGTCGAGCAGCGTAATGAGCTACTTGACCTGCCAAGGTCTCTGGTGTTACTCGAACAAAAGATACAACTACTAGCTGACGAGGTTGGATACACCGAATTAATAAATGTGCGGAGAGGACCAGGTATGATGTTGCATTATTAGTTCGTTTAACTTGAAAGACAAGCTGAAGCCAAATAGTACATGGTGATTAATTTGCACTTAGACGCTCAGGTGAAGTCAGTTCTAGCTGTCCAGGTGGCTCTTGGGTTTTTGTATGAGGCGAAGTTTGACGTTATTCAACAAGTTGCCAACGCCGCAATCAGGACGGGTAAGTTCAAAATTGATATATATGTTCTTTGTTTGCACTGACCGAAGGGTTTCCACTTCCAATCAAACCTTAGGGGCGACTCAGCAGCCACGTAATGACTTGCGGCATGCAAGTAAGTACAATGAAAGGTACCGTCCGGCCCACCGGCTACAAGAACCGAGCTTGGACGAGGTGGTTGCAATGGATCTGTTAGATCCCTTTTGGGATGAGGTTGCACTCAATCATCAAGATGAGCCTTGGGCAACCTGTCAGAGTACCAAGGATGGGATAGTTGCCCTGCGAAACAAGGTTGCATGTGAAGAGGAACTACGCCGTCTCGGACGCGAGGTCAGACAGCTAGTGCGACGGGGGCTTGACTTTGAAGCACGAGTGGAAGCATGTAAACCCAGTGACGCAAATGGTAAATCCCTTCCCTACCTAAATCACCTCCGATCACGTTCGTTTTTGCAGACGTGATAATGACACTGTACCTTTTGGCAGGTGAGTTGCGAATAGCAGAGTGGTCTTCAATCTATAGTGGGCTGGCCAAACGCACATGTCGGTTGTGGAAGCATTGGGATCGTGGCCTCCTGGAAGTTCTCCAGGCTACTCATAATCACGTGGGAGTAAGTGTAGAAAGCGATAATATGCTGATAGTGAAGTGGGAGAGAATGGTCTCCCGCACCCAACGCACCTGGGCCGAGATTCTCGGGGTTCTGATTCTAGAGGGAGACTTCCCAGATGAGGTAGATGACTGGGCAGAAGAGGAATTCGACGACCATCCAATGGATGCCTATTGGATGGCGGGGTGATTTCCGATGAAACATTAATTTTAAAATCAATCTCTAGTCAATTTATTGTATCTGGGAAGTTGTTGATGAACTAATGTAAATAAGCATGTGATTGCCAATTTGTGCTCATGTTTCAAACACCTTGATGTATATTTATGGTGAAATGCACGTTGCCCGTCTTTCTTGACGCATTGGAAACAAATCTATGCGCGCTGGGAGAGTGCTCTCTGGCCTAATGACTTGTAAGTACATAATAGAATTAACCCAAAAATGGTTCTTTCTATTCGAATACTTTCCTATCAATGCAAATTTGTTGCTTGAAAAAGAACGTACCTGAGTATCGTGTAGTTGTTGAAGTGTCAACATAGTTCCCATCAACTCATCAGAGACGTTGACTTCAACGCAAATACAAAGCTTTTACTTTGTTATTATTTATTATAACGGACGGCAAAAGCGTAGAAGTAGGACAACATTATACTTTGTTTTCATAAGCACCATCTGTATAGGTATTGTACGGAATGCGACATGTGCCAAAGTGACAACTTGAAATTTCAAAATCAAAATTTCAGAATCCCCGGGTCAGAAATTGACAAAACTGGAATAAACATCAGATTTAACCCCAATACTGGTCTGAAACCGCCTGTATTGGGGATAAAACCTATCTTTCTGCCAGTTTTCACAATTTCCAGACCACAACTCAAATATCGACCACTGACTTGGCACTTTGGCACAAATATTACATGAAAATTTCAAGAAATCGATTTTCATCATGTCAAACTTCACATATGTATAAAACAACAAAACCCAATACCTAACCGTACCACAGGACAACCTCAGCAGCCAAAACCTACAGATTGCACAATCATTACTCGGGAAGACACAAAACCTAATCACAATTTGCAGAAATAATCACTCTTAACCTACCTCTCCCTCCCCAATTCGATCCTCACCCAGCAACGTCCTCATACCATCCAAAAACCACATTCACTTGTCACTTTGACACATATGATCCAATCCATTCTATCAATCATCAATCTCTCCATTTCATCATATAACTACTGTTATCATGCCTGGACGAATTGAAATCTCAGATGATATCTTACACCCTATCCTAGAACAAGCTCATAACAACAAGTGGACAGCACAATCGGTATCCGACAACATCTGGAGAAGTCATCAAATCAAGATCAGTGTTCGTACCATCCGTCGACGTATTGAGGCATGGGGTTTGAAACACCGAGTGGAGTATGATGAAGAGACTGTCACGAAGGCTGTGTTAGACAAGCACGGTAAAAGTTACAATCAAAAAACAACCCTCATCTCAATGAAGAATGAAAACAAAATTGTCATCAGCCGTTCCACCTTGGCTCGTCATGAGAAGAGACTTCAGCTTAATCGCAAACGAGATGATCTTGATCTCAACAAAATTACTTACAAAGAGCTTGTGCAATTGATTAACCAAATGGAAGAAGATTTTGGTCATGTGCTGGGTATCAAGAGTATCAAGCGAAAGCTCATGGCTTATCATAACTTGCATATTCATCGGTGATTAATATACTACTTCATCACATCCCTGATAACACTACTAAAAAAATATTGTTTTCCGGGCAGAACACATAAATGATTTATGTCATTAAGTGGACCCCAGAACACAAATATCACCTGTTACTTAAGTCTGGGGCCCAGAAAGCAATATCATTTCTTAATATTCCCACTTTGAATTCCCATTCAAAACAATCCTTTTCGAGATTTCTTCATCTTCAAAATCACTGCAAACTCAATCCGCTGCATCTGTTTGTCTATGTTGTCATAACTCCGGGCTTTGTAGAAATTTGTTCTATGTATCTGTTTCTTTGTTCAATTTTGTCTTTGACAAAGTGCCCTTTTCATAAGTCCCACACGATCCCCACTCAACGTGATCAGTAGAAAAAGAGGCAATAAAAGTATTAACATACATTCTTTGTTCATAAGCTGTATTTCTTCTATTTCTTAAATTTCAATCACCAAGTTAAACCGCAACAGATTACCAAATGTAATCTGCACAAACACGACGTCGCAACACACAAGTCATATCTATCAAAGGGCAATTATACTTGGAAAGTATGTACTCTTCTCTTCGAACAAGTGTTATAGATATATCAGGTATCTCCTTGATCCGATGCTTACAATCCTGGGCAACTTTCCTTCATTCCGCCTTCATCAGCCTCTTGAGTTCATTTTGTGACCCGCTCTCTTTGAATAATTTGTCGGTCTTCCTTATAGATTTAGCTATCTCATTTTCTTAAGCATGTTTATTTTTTTGTTGACGAGTCTTGCTTTTGTAAATCTTAGGCCAAAGTACTCCATCACGTCCAAACTGCGCTTGGGCACCTTTGATGTAAATATACACCTACCTCTCTCTTCATATGTGTGGGCGGATTTTCATACTGATTCACTTCATTTTGTAGATCTGAACGTTTAGCCTGTTAGTTTTTTACATCAAGATGACCAACAAATCAAAGAAGAAGAACTCTCCAACGGGTCGAATGTCTACTGGGACTTCTCCGAACGATCTCAAGACAGGCGCTGATCAACCCCAAGCTGGTAGTCTACCATTGCGCCAGCCTCCTCTACCTACCGGCCCAGCGCCTCCCCAACCACCTCTTCAGAATCCTACAGAGACACTCAACGCTACCTACTTCAAGATCCAAGCATTACCGGACAACTTACATTCCTTCCTTGATCACGATTATGAAGAAAAGAAGGAATCTTACAAGAATATTGACTACTACCGAATTCTGTCACACTTCAATCCATCAACATTGTCTCGTCCAAACCACAGGAAAGATAAATTGATCGCAGACTTTATCAAGCATGTTCTACCTCTTATCAAACCATACCAACTACCACCACCTCCCTTACCGATGCAGACTGAACAATCGACTCGAAAGGACTTTAATCCACTTTCTAAAAGGGCTAAACGAGAAGATCTTATGGGTGTTATTTGGGACTCAGATTCATCAGTCGTTATACCCAAGGCAGCAACAAGTAATGGCCTACTTTATTTGTATAAAGAGCATGTTGACAAAGATCTCCAGATCCCCGGCGATACCCCATTCATCAGACCTCCAAATGTTGTTCGACGTGCGGAAGTCAAAAGCCTTCTCATGGAAGAGCTTCGACTAACTTTACAAGATCAGGCTCCCCACGTCTTCATTCACTCGATCCCAATGAGTCATACCGTTCTTGTCAACCTCTACATTAAATTTGTTCTCGATGAAACAGTTCAACCTGGGCTCTTGGTTCGTGGGTTTCATTACTCGCTTTTGCGCGAAAAAGCCTGATCTGGTTTCCAAGTAAGTACAACAGGTTCCCATCTTTAATCTTGTTTTGTTTGTCCGCAGATGTTTCTATGTAGCCCTTCTATCGGGTAGGATCTGATCATACCAATTTCTCAAACGTCCGAACCCCTAGTATCCCTATGCTTCCAGATCTTTCGTAGCTAGATCTTTCGTAGCTCAGGTATGTCTATCTCTTCGTGAGCAGGTTTAATTACGCTTCATACTGATTATCATGTGCTGTTCTCTCTGTCTGTAACAATCAAACACTTCAAGCAGCCGATCTTACATCTGAGACTCACCAATGTATCAATTATTCAGTCTTGTCTTATCTCTCTCCCTGTCGAATGATCGATTGTTGTACATCACTACTTTGGATGTATATTTTAGACAAATCTAAACATGTTTGAAACTCGGTTCCGTTTGATCGCCTCATATTACTCATACGTTCTGTACTTCTTTAAGCGATGTAAACGTTGTCTAACACCTGCTTGTGTAACTCCTTCTGACCGACCGAACCTTGGATTATTTGTCTTGACACCAGTCATATTGAATGTGAAATATCGAAAAGCCTTTTGCCCTTTTAACTGAGCACCCAGCAGCCTTTCCCCCTTAGACTATCATCTTATAACGTGAACATCAGTCACTTTTCAGCTCCTACCGTTTTCATACTTTGATTCCTGAAGCATGCCACCAAAAACAAAGAAAAAAAACACGGCACACCGAGTACCATGTGTCTGCCGCGCATTCGATTGTTGCCTTGCTCAATACGTTGACGCCGACGGGATTACTCGCCCAGGAGTGGAGGTCTTACCTGAAACTCTTGCCGCTCATGAACTGGCCGATAGAGAAGCCGAAGCCACCGCCAGTCTTTCCAATACCTCATATCCTCGTGATTTGGGAAGCCATACGACTGGTCAAGATACCCTTGTCAGGTCTATATCGCGCTTGGCTCTGAATCCAATCAATCGTGCTATATCACCTCCTATTTCCAGGACTCGTTTGCTTTCGGACGGCGCAGATCAATCCCAGGTGACTTTTGAGTGTGAATTGATTCATTCGCGCCCTGACTCACAGTGGCCGTCTTTTGTTTGTCAAGGACAATCGGCCGAACGTGACTGCTTACTACTCAGGAGCACAAGCTTCACTAGACGACGAACCCGAAGATGCCTCACCCTTGCCAAAAACTTGCTTGGCTGCAATGGAAGCCAAGGCAGCAGGTGTTGAGGTATATAAGTGTGGTAAGTTGATCAACTTTCACCAATCAATTCTTGTACTATCAGCTCGCTAATCCTTCTTTCATGGTCATACAGACCGGTTTTATGAATTCACCTTGCAAGAAATGAACCCAGTACTACTTCACGTCGTTCTGGTAGTCGCAATCCTGAACATCTTTGGCAACTTGTCGATGAATACTGCTAGATGGCTACTTGATTGTCTCAAGATCGTAATTGAGATGTGCTTAACCGGGAGAATCAACATATTTCAACCTCCGCTCCTTCTCACGAGGCCCGAGGAACTCATATTAAACCGCATTCCAAAAACTATTACCACCGCAACTAAGTGGCTAAAAGTTGAGCCGATTCTCATCGAGATGAACTGCTGCCAATCTTGCTTTGCTCTCTACTCGCTCAATCGTACTCCAGAGAGATGTACACATCGCTATGCTCAAATCCCAGGTGGACCTCCCGAATCATCCGAGGCAAACACCGAGACAATTTCTTCAGAATCTCTGTATGAGCCCAATAGCACGGATTTTGTAGAAACAACCTGCAGTCATCCCTTGTTAAATTTCAAGCGCGGAAAAAAGAGACCACTTAGGCGATACGCCTTTCAAAGGCTTTCTGATTGGATTGCGCGTTTACTTTCTCGTCCAGAAATTGAAGACAGGCTTGATCAATCTCTCAAGGAATCTCAAAAGCCCTTCAATCCGAATGGCAAATGGAGTGACATCCATGAATCAAAAGTATGGAAAGACTTTCGTGGCCCGGATGGTGGTCAGTACACTGCTACAAGTGGATTGATGTTTGGGATGTTTGTCGACGCCATAAACCCTTATGGAAACAAAACTAGCGGGAAACATGCATCTATTACATTTGTTGTTTTGGTATGCCTGACTCTACCGCTAGACATCCGATATCAACCAGAAAACATCTTCTTGGTTGGTATTGCTCCTGGTCCTCGCGAACCCGCGCTAGAGCAAATGAACTGGATACTCCGACCGATTGTGACCGAACTGAAGGCTCTTTGGAACCCAGGATTGCTCTTATCACGCACCCATCAATACAAAAACGGACGTCTAATAAGGGCCGCATTGCTAGTGTTCATAGCTGATATTCCAGCTCTTAGGAGATCACTGGGGTTTCCCAGCGCGACGGCAATGAATTTCTGCTCAATTTGTCACCTGACGAAGAAAGAAATCAACAATTTAGATCCGAGTACGTGGCAAAGACGCACTGCAGCACAGCACAAGGTATGGGCATGTCAAGCGCGTGACTCAAATAGTGTCGAAGAATGAAAGAAGATCTTTAAAACGCACGGAGTTCGATATTCAGTACTGGTTGAACTTGAATATTGGGACATTGTAGACTATCACGTAGTTGACTCTATGCATAACCTATTACTTGGTCTTCTTTCGTGGCATTTACGCAGGTTCTGGTCAATGGAAGATATAAAAAATGAAGAAGATAACCTACCTCCAATAACAAAATCTGAGCTTCAAGACCTCGTCCTGGAACATCTAGAGCCACTACAATCAAATGTCAATGAAGATCAAGACTCTGAAAATCAAAACGAGGAAACACAGGGGGTTCCTTTTGAGGATCTGTCTTTCGATGACGACACCAACACCAGTGATGAGGATTTTGATCCCCTCGGCGAATCAGGATGGAACGGCAAATGGAACGCACCCCCTCTGGATGAGATCATATTTGATCAAAAGATGTTACAATATATAAATTCACAATTGCATCTAATCAATATTCCAAGTTGGATCAAACGCGCCATTCCAGTGCTTGGTAAAGCATCGTTTGGCAAGCTTAAAGCTGACGAGTGGAGAAACTTATTTACGCTTCAGTTACCACTTATAATGACACCCTTGTGGTTTGGTCAAGATCAAGTTAAGACGTCTCTCCTGAGAAACTTCCTTCATCTTGTGTCACTCGTCAACCTTGCCCTCAAGCGAGATATTACATCTGACCAGATCAAACGATATGAACATCATATTCAAAGATACCTAAGTAGCTCACTAGAATTATTTCAACATTGTCATCTTGCGCCCAATCACCATATGGCAATTCATCTATCCGACCTCCTGAAACGTTTTGGTCCGGTGCGCGCATGGTGGTCATTTTTTTTTGAGAGGTTGATGGGTAGTATACTCAAGGGTTGCCATAATAATCATATAGGTCCGTTTGTTTATCTAAATAAAAAGATTTTAAATGCTGTATAATACTGACTCTTGAATGTCATTTTTCCTTTCAACTTTACGGAATGCGAGACGTTCCAAAGTGACAATGCGAAATTTCAAAAAACAAAAATCACAATCCCTGGGTGCAAAATTCAAAAATCAAAGACAAAACTACAGAAAATACTCAAATACAGGGATAAAACCCCTGTACCGGAGTAAAAGTCATGGCAGAAACCCCTTTTTGCCCAATTTTCCAGTGGTCGACACCGTTTTCATTGCATTGTCACCTTTTGACAAAAAGTACCAGCAACACCAAAAACCAAACAATCAAAAAACCAAAAATCAAAAAATACATTTCTCAAACTTTACAATTCAAACACCAAAGTTAGATTCTACTGCAGTCAAAAACCACATGTTGGCCAACTAGCTACAAGCTCGGTCTCACAGGTATCAACACCTCCGACCAGAGACATTCTACCATCAGTCTCAAGAGCTTCAAAGTACCTGCTTACTGTCTCGCTCTCCTCCAAAACCTCTTTGATTGTCCTTGATCTTCTTATTTCTTTGTCATCCATCCTCGATCTTCCTCAATCTTCGTCATCCGTCCTCAGTCTTCTTATTTCTTTGTCAACCGTCCTTGATCCTCCTCAATCTTTGTCACCCGTCCTCGACCTTCTTCTTTCTTCGTCAGCCGTCCTTGATCTTCCTCAATCTTCGTCACCCGTCCTCGATCTTCTTCTTTCTCCGTCAACCGTCCTCAGTCTTCTTATTTCTTCGTCAACCGTCCTCGATCTTCCTCAATCTTTGTCAACCATCCTCGATCTTCCTCAATCTTCGTCAACCATCCTCGATCTTCCTCAATCTTCGTCAACCATCCTTGATCTTCTTCTTTCTTCGTCACCCGTCCTCGATCTTCTTCTTTCTTTGTCAACCGTCCTCATTCTTCTTCAATCTTCGACAACCGTCCTCAATCTTCTTCAATCTTCGTCAACCGTCCTCAACCTTCTTCTTTCTTCGTCGACTGTCCTTGATATTCCTCAATCTTCGTCAACTGTCCTCAATCTTCTTAGACCATCCTCAATCTTCGTCAACTGTCCTCAATCTTCTTAGACCATCCTCGATCTTCTTTGATTATCCTGAATATTCTTCGACCATCCTCAATCTTCTGCAATCCTCATCCAAACACCTTCAATCTCCATCACCAACTACACACCAACATGCCAGCGAAAATATCTGATGAAATCTTGCGACCGCTTTTGGAAGAAGCTGTGGCTAACAACTGGCCAGCACAAACAGTATGCGACACTGTTTGGCAACAGCACAACATCCGAGTATGTGTAAGAACTGTTAGAAGACGGATCAAAGAATGGGACTTGAAACAACAAGGAAATTATCATGTGGAGGTTGTAAAATTATGGTTGATATTGCGGCTCGAAGGTAG